GCCTAGTTTACGTGGTTTTCTCATCTGGTCAACAATATATCCAGAAAAGCCAGAAAGTTTTTTTGTTTTTTGGTTAACACGTAAAAGGATCATCAGGATTGGCATTGTTGAGCACAATGAGAACACACTGAGCGGTATCTACACTTGGAGCAACCACATGTGTCATCCACAAACGGTGCAGCTGGTTGAAGCAGGGTTCACACCTCGACTCGACCACTGCCATGACGATGTCAGCCTGCGCCGAGCCAAGCGGATTTCGCATGGCCACAGCTATCGATACGTCTGATCCTCGAATAAGTGGTGCATATCTTTTGTTACCTAATAGCAGCAAATCCGTGGGATATTCCACGAATATTCATAAGGATACTCATTTATTCGGGATAAAAGAGCACAAAAAGTCCGAATAAAAGGAGCGGGGTAACCGTAAACTAGGAGGTCCTAAGGACGCAGCATTCTCCACTGACCAAGGAATCAACATTACAGATGGTATTGGTACGGTGGGAGATGGACTATGTTCCGTTTCCACTGGGGTGTTCATAGAGAAACCGTACCCTTGAAGTAAGACGCCAACTGGCAGAAGGGGCGCAGTAACGGCTAAGAGAATGTGAAAAGATTCGGTCAACATCGTAGATGCCGACCCCAGTGCGTGTGAGTTTCACAAGCTTCGGGACCAATGGGTGCGCAGATATAATAGCTCCTTGAACACAGCGACAGAATCAAAGTCTATAAATGGGTCAAAGTTGAGATGTATAAATTCTGCTGACTGAAAGATCTGTAGATGCGTACCATGAGCTTCCACGTCGGAATGATGGGGCGCAGTACAGCCACAGAGCGCTACTCACCTTTTCGGTGCTTTGTGCTCGTCCTCTAGGATGTGAAGTATCACTTTAGAGATGAATATGACGCATTTGTACAGTTGTTCGTCAACAATAATTGCGACAGAGAAGAAACAGGTGATACGGAAGACGCCAGTATGTCAAATGAAATTGTCCGTTGGCTTGGGTTAGTGTGGACTACATGGCAAAAATTGTTCACGCTTGGTCCCATCACATACGCAAAGTAAATAAATGGGCCGGCGTCCCTACCAAATTTTCACCCATCGGATACTACCACTTACCTCAGTCACAAATGAGATAATGAGCGGTCACTGGCCCGATCGAGTAACTCAGGGTTTCAAAAATAAGCTGAATTTAAACGGTGATTATGAGTCGATGTTAGTTGCCTCAAAGAAAACCCTCAGTTAGTGAGACTTAGGTGGAGATTTGGTTCGCCTCAACTGGCTCGAACATTTTAGGAGTTCAAAAGGCCTAGTGCTGCACTATCGCTTGCTGAGTCACCTAAACCCTTATGGAAAGGATCTTGTTTATCCAACTGTGGAATAGACTCGACTGGAACTCCCTAAGTTAAAAATAAGCCACTGGACACGATGACCATCCTCCGTTTTCCCTGAAAGATGGAGGTAACTAGCTGTTGAATGCACTTGCCGCTATATTCAATACTATCTAGGACACAGAAAAATTGCCTTGAGACTGGAGATGGCCACATGTCATCTTCCTCTTCAAAAAGAGTCAACTAATTTTATGGGAAGGTTCGCTGGAAATAAGACTTATTTTCATTACCACGGAACAACAGCATTCCTCATTGAACCAACGATGTGGCATATGCCTTTTCCCTTTGAAGAAAAGTGTTGCTGCATGTCTGAACCGATACGACACCGATTCCAGTACTGATTGTACAGCCACTAGAAGTGGTGGATCGGTTCATGTACCATGGCAGCTGTCACCAGAGCGCACATCACTGGACATTTTATTTTGCGTTTATTCGAAACCCTGTGGTTTTACGGATACTCAACATACCTGTGGAGACGGTGTGATATCAGCATGTCAGAGAAAGATAAGGTGTGTTACTCTGCGATAACGCGGGCGTTCTTGCGTTGATCAGAGACCTGACAATGTTGCTCTGAAAGCAAACAACGACTGGTCGCGTTTGACCACCGGTGCTCCCGGAATATTGTTCACATCTGATGGGAACACCGGATGATTATTACTGAGGTTTGCTGTGCTTTCCGCTGATTGTATGGATAACCTGCTTCTACTGCGTAAATTGACCGACCGGCATTCCATGTTAGCAAAATAAGGTCTCAGGCGAAAACAGTATTGATTACCTGGCAAAAAGTGTAAACAATCAAATATTGGGGTCGAAACAGTGGTTAATAAGAGAATAACCTCACGGGCAGACTTCAAGGTACACCTTCCACATTGATAGTCTTTAAGGTGAAACGTCGTCATTGGCCCGCTCTAATTGGTTGACCAATAGGCTTTGGTCTGTCATAATCAAATGATCCGAGCTGCTAGCGAAAAGATGCCGGCTCCTTTAAGGTCAGTTGGTTTCTGTCAAAAAGCCAGGTGGTGCGTAGCTGGAGTGTCTGTCGAACTTGAGTCGACTATGCTGGCTAGGCCATTCATATGCATAGTGATCAGATTCATCGGTGCGCAATATCCGGCAGCGCCGTACCATTGCCTGCGACTTCGAAATGGCCAGCCAACGATATGGTATAAGAGTACTTAAAAAATTGACGGGAAGAGTTGGTGAGATTGCTACGTGTCGAACTCGCTGACGGAGGCCTGAGACAGTCCACACGAATGACGAACCTGTGTTCAGTGTCTGACATGTAGCTGATGATATTCGATTACGATGATCTTTGGGCTTTTTTCCAAGCTTCCATTTGGGTAATATATTTGCATTCTACCTCTTTATCCATGGCTATGTATCCACATCATGAGCACGCGGATCATGGCAAATTGATCCACCGCACTTAACCGCCTAATTCCCTGCGAGTACAAATGGGCAATGAAAAATGACGCCCTCAATGAACCCAGGGGTGTGGTATGCTAAAAATAGGCATGATTGCGCCAGCAGCCAAGAACACCACAGTGCGGGTAAAAAATGGAGCAACCGGACACATAATACGGGGAAAGCGCCAGATGGATGTGTGCTATGTAAAAATGCAAAATCAGTGATCGATAAGAGCTTCGAGCAAAGACACACCGTGAGAGGCTGCTCGGGGAGCACAGAGCCTGGCTGAAAAAGGTACTACATCCAATGTGGAACTGGCTACAGTCCAACCACTGCCCTGTCCACGTCTGGTAATGTATGTTTCAACCAAGGAAAATATAAGGGTGATCTTTCACCGAGGTCGAACGTTACGTTCCGCGCTGGTACACCTGAAGGGCCCGCTTCCCAAGGATAGGACGACTAAATGTGTTTATAAAATTAAATGTAAGGACTGTGCACATGTGTACATAGGCCAAACAGCGAGAGAATTACGCACACGAATTTCTGAGCATAGGAGACGCATTGCAAGACTACCAAGAAACGAGTTTGAATATCAGGCAATAATAAGAGACTCGGCCCTAGCCGTGCATGCACTAGACAAGGGTCACGAGATAGACCTCGAAAACGTAGAGGTCATTAGGAAGGGTATCCGATCAACCACTCAGCGGTTGATTGCCGAGGCGGTGGAAATTGCCAAATCTGACGACTGCGTGAATAGAATGGAGGGGGTAGAAATCCCTAATGCATGGCGGGCGGTCTTAAGCCGACCAGCTTGACGAGCATCGATGCGTGGATCAGATTGGGAAGTGCAAACCGACTCCTATTGTCAACACTATGGGCTTATCCGTCAATGTCATGACGCAAAAAGGAACACCTGGACTATTCCCACTGTGATCGAACCACCTGAGGTGATATCCCGAACTGTTTCCTGTAATGACTCATGGCTCAAGACTCGGGTAACGCGGTTATCGCCCCTGTTCGCTATAAAATCCCACACCAATTGCACACTGATTCACCTGGTCTGACGAAGCCTTTATGTTAAAGGCGAAACGTTGCCAAACTACTATACCAAACCGATTGTTTCCAAACCTCTGAACTCATGACTACTCGATCGGTTCCAAGTATCTTCCAAGAATATGTTTCAACCTGTTCATAGGAGTGGTGTGCAAGCTGTAGGAGTGTGTGTCGGGCCTGAAACAAGCGTGACTCGCAGCTGGATGTGACAACATGTGTGCTCGACCCACTATGATCGATCCAAGTGGGACGAAACGTGTCTCAGCTGGTTAGGAAGCGACTTGTATTTGAATTCTTCATAGTTTCACCTATCCTCATTCCATGGTTGGCCACGACTGCGCTGATCTCCTGAGGTGAAGGATTGAAGCGTCCAGAGTAATAATCATCAACGTAAAAGGCGCAATGCCATGCGCTCATTAATCTTAAGAAAAAAGTGCCAGGCGCGAAATGGGCCGAATAATGGAAAGAGCTGGGCTGCATGATCGTCCGAAATCCATGCATACAAAGAGACATAGATATGTGTTAGAGGTGCTGACATACATATTCGCATGGAAGTGGGGGTGAAAATTTTCGAGGGAATACTTTGTATGGAAGCATGCTCCGTGCAGACAATCCAATGGATGATCGTATTACTTCATTTGAACACAGGACTATATCTTCATTTGTTAATTTTACCAGATACTCAGTTATTTCGAAATCCTTTATAACTGCACTGATAAACGATATCATGTGTTTTCTGCGATGGGGATGTCTCGTATCGCCGAGAAATATACCATCTATACATACACCATCGAATTTACACTAGACATGGGGGGTGTGGATGAAGCTGCAGGTTGTGCAGCGCAAGCCATCCATGGTCCCTCATTAAGACGCAGCCGTAGTGCTGATGTTCGCAGCCCCCGTGACAGGTAAATCCGGAACAGGATGCCGTCAACGACAAAATCAAGTATAAAGTCAAACGAATTGATTCACTCGCTACATATTACGGTAGCGAGTTGTAGAACTGAACATTCTGTAGACCAAAATGTTTCTGAGCAGAAACAACAAGGAGTTGTTACTCTCAGCAGGATTGCTGAACAGCGATACCAACAAAGATAACAACGCAGATGACAAAGATTAGGATTAACTGCCACGATCAATTGTACACTTACTCGAATGGACAGATTTGATGTGTCCTTGCAAACCGTGCTTCACAGAATACGATTTGCCACAATGTTCACATGCATGTGGTCGTTCCTCTGAAGTTGGGAAGCGAAAATGACCAAATGGGGACCAATTACGAAGGGAAAACAAATAATGAATAGGGAATGGTTTGGTAGAATCAGCGCATGCAAGTTGCAACACGACAGATAGTAAATGATGACCACCAAATTCGGGGATTCGCAGTGTAGATCAATGGATTACAGTGTTCGAGGATCAAGTGACATGGAAAATAAAGACTGCGAGGCATCCATCGGTAAAAGCAACAGCACGGAAACATAAGAAACGGATCGTGGAATCCAATATCCATCTTTGGGAACATCACTCAAAGAGTGAAAAGCAGAAAGAGATGCACTGGAACAACAGCATCGCAGTCGGATAACATTGCCTTAGTGTGACCAATTGATATATGCTGCGGCCAGAGCATCAAGAGATTGTTAGAATTAAGTCATGGTGTAATGCGTGGGCCGAATGCCATCAAGTTGCATTGGCATAGACAGGAGAACCATTAGGGTTCTCTAGCAAAGCCTTCGGTTCAAAAAACCTGACCGCAAAGCAGCAGGTTTCGCAGGGAACTACATGGAATCCGTTTTACAAATGAGACACCGCGATTCCAACCCCAAATCTAGAGGACCAGGAGAATGTGTTTGTATGGCTTCAATCCACATTGACTGATCTGGTATGAGTGGCTCTGAAGGTGCAAAAGCACCACCCAGCATAACTCAATGGATCCCCAATGCGCGCAAACCATCGCACCACAGTAAGATCCAGCGTTGTTCCGTAGGTCGTTGCGATTTTATGGCAACGAAGTATCAGTTCGAATGTCTGTTGCAGCAGCAGTCAATGTAGTTAGAGGCCACAGAAATTCAGTCTGCTTGTCCTCTAGCTAGGGTTTGGAATAAGAGTGGCTCCTAATTCCTAAAACGGATTCCCTTGTGTCTTGTGAAAAACAAAACAAGGCTTCCTTTGGTAAGCTGTGACCGGGCATACCTAGTACGTACCCAAGTTAATGCAACACATTTAGTGCTATCTGTGGCTCTAAGGAACTAGCATGGTTATCAATACCTAGTACTCGACTACGCATACCATCGTTGCGGAAACGCTGATGACACCGACGGTGATGATCAAAGAGTTGGAGGCACCGCTGGTTCTCAGATCGGAGGGGTCAAGTCTCGCTTCCATAGAATAGGACGGCTCCCACTGTGACATTGTAAATACAGACTTCCAGACGGATGGAAACTCCTTCGATCGCCAAAGATGTCGCAGATGCAAGAATGTAGATCTGGTTAAGGGCTGACGCCTTGCTCACTATGCCAATAAGATCCGTGAGCAACGCCTGGCAAACTGCATGATAGAGTCGAGGAGGAAAGGTAATACAAATGGAAAAATTGGGAATGTATAAGGACGTTACTCTGAAGTAGAAAACAGAAAACGTGACAACTCACACAGGTAGCACAGACGAAGAATAGAGAATGAAAGGATAGAATAAGTGCATCCAAGTTGAAACACGACAAATGGTAAATAATGGCCAAGAACTTCGGGGATTCGCCGTGTAAACCAATGGATTACAGTGTTCGAGAGTAAGAGAAGACGAGATAAAAATCGCAAAACGTACATCGGTAATAACGACTACGTAGTAACATTAGATACCAAACAAGGTATCCAAAATTCCATTTCGTCCAAGTCATTCAAAAAGCGCAAAGAACATAAAGATCCAGTGGAACATCAACATTCGGAAGACAACGCAATCAGTGCAATCGGACAATTATGCCTGGTGCGACCAACCGTAGTCTGCTCGTTTCATGTCCGACTAGCCAACGAGTTCCCCTCTTAGCACCGGGTTCACATTCGAATTGGTCATTCTAATCGAATGCGCCCTTCTGTACACTCAACCACCTCCCATTGGTTAAGCAAAGGCCTCAGCTTTCATCTCTATCTGGACAGTTATGCATAGGTTGTCCACCCATGCGCCAGAAAGCCTAGCTTCCAATTCGTGCGGTGTTCGACAGTATCATCTAAACCGTACCTGGGAACATGAGACGACTTGTACAAATCAAAGTCATATGAAAGGTCCCCGGCCTTAAAAATCATAGAGCTGTGGAATGTTCAGCATCACTTTGATGAATACACAATTTAGTTGATACACCAGTTCAACCTTATAGAAATGTTGGAAATATATACAATTTCTTTCACGGTTGTTTCTCTTCAATATCGATACAGGAAAATGGTAGCATTAGACCAATTAACCTTCTGTTGGATGGTATGATCTGAAGATTGCATTATGACTGGGACATCGGTAACACAACGTAAGCAGTAGTAATGGTCATAAAGATCCAGAAAGGTGCCGTGCACAGCAGAAAAGATCTAGTACTTGATTGATCCGCTTTCGTTTCGCTTAATAGCTTTGCTTGTCACAGGCACTGAACGTACCAGCTTTTGGAGATGTTTGCAAATTATGATACGGCTTAAACCATCAATAATGGACCCAATAAGTTCCATTTTGGTAGTCGGCTCTTTCTTCGACATTTACAGTGACAATGTGTACTATAAAGTTTCAAATGGATTTGATTCAGGGGGTTAAATCAGTCATTCAAGCATCTCCCTCCTTTTTTCACTCATTCTGCGACCGTCTTTGCAAGATGGCCCGGCGCATTGCTATCCCGGAAGTAGTAGTCTCTATCGAATGTATTGTTCGTGCTTATCAATGTGCTCACGTTCTCAGTTTGCGGGTTAACACGTCTGATGAAGGTACTTTGATTACAGCCAACGTATAGTGAATTAACCACCGCATCTTTGCCCAGATACTTGAACGATCTCAAGATAAAGATTCAGCGAATTCGATAAACAAGTGTTATAAGTCTGCACTAAAACACTCCACAAATTTGCAAATACAGACGCTTCTCTGCTACTGTCCAGAAAGTCTACATTTCCAGCGGAGGAAAATCCCTTTGCTTGAGAAGTCGGCTTAGAAGCCAATTTGAAACATTTAAAGCATTCTAGACAAACTACACCACAGAGGTTACTCCAATAAACATGATATGGCCAAAACAATTTTCAGCATCACATACACACTAAGAATGACGTGAATAACAATTTCTGAGAAAATGATATGTAGTTTCGGTGGATTCGTTTTGTTATTAGGAATATAAGATGGGACAACAGAGCAGTGATTGATTTCAAGATGATGCAGGACTTTTTTCAACGCTCTGCAATAAATTCATTCCACCGACCTCAAACGCCGAGTTAGCTTGACCAACGCATTCCCGCATACCGCATGCTCATCAGACACAGCGCGGTTCGAAACAAAATCCGGTTTTTTCGTATGTAGCGGAAATCATTAGAGTCCATGTACTTCACCGTCAGACTTCCACAAAGTTTAAATAAACTTAGCGACGGATTTCTCAGTCTTATACAAATTTTTTTCGCCCGTCGATACACGACATTCCTTCGCACCTCAAACATACACCGTGCAAAAACAGTTGTCCCCTTTGCAAGCAATCCGTAGTGTTAAAAAAAACTCACAAACTGAGAGGTTATTGAGCATATACCTAGCGTTCCCAATCAATGGAGTTCGACTCCGCTATCCGGACTTAAGAAAATAAAAAATAAATCGCGAGCTGTACGCCGTAACGGCGATTCGTTGCCACGCGACCATCACCAGCCGCGCGTGGGCTGAGTATAGCGAGAGGACGCCCACACCTACGCGGATTCGAATCGGCAACCTTATGATTGCGAACCAGGCGCGGAGACCACTCGGCCACCGGCCGGGAGAAATATCCTCATTAATTTTGAGGACACACTGCACAACATATGGTGGAGGATTGGAAAATCTCATGAACCCGCGTAGCCCATGAAAACGTGCTGGTCTTCTTGCGTGAAGATGACTAGGTCTCACGACGAGCGATGCTAGGAGGCATTGTACCAGGACATCATATGCAACGTAAGACTCCAGTTATTATACCTAAGGTATAGGCGGAGAACACCACAGCAATACCTCAAAAAGATAAAAACATACAACAGGTTCACACCAGCTGATTTACTGGTAACGGATGGGTATCGTTCTAGAAACAAAAAAGCTGGCTACTATGCAGCAAAAAACTTATAATGCAAAATGTATATTAAGCTAAGAAATGAGATTACGGTTGGAGAGGGAGGCTAAGAGGAATGAGGAAGGAAAAGTAAGCTCACAACACGAACGCAACTGAGGTCAGCTCTTAGCAATGTCAACAAGTGTATCCAGCCAAACGTGTTGCAGAGAGAGCATCATCTATATCAACGCAATGCAACAGGCTGTGACGCGTCAAAGAGGTCAGCTCATGTTACACGTAAAAGCATCGGACCTTTCATTGGTTGCTAGCGGACAATAAAAGTAAAAAGGTTGTAAACGGAGGATGCATTCAGGATTCCACTCACTCAGGTGAACAGAGCGCTCGTGGGACCGGAGACTGTTCGATTGAGAAAAGGTTTTCTCACAGTATTTACATTTGTGAGGTCGCTCTCCTGGAACATAAAACAAAAACTTGGTGGTTACACACAGTATCACAAAAGACAGTGTAATAGAGGGAACGTGATGTCATGTCGCAAATGTAATCAAAACGACCGACTGGAGTTGGCCAAATAATGATGGATGAGAAAAAGAATTGCGCACCGTACTCTCAAAACAAATGTCCTGTTTTGAAAAAATCTACTGGATCGCTAACACAGAATTCGGGAATGAAAATCAGTTAGACTTAGCAGTTCGCGTTATCTGATCACTTGTAAACTAATCAGCAATATGGATCACGTGAGAAGAGCAAAATGTCGTTCTGAAGAGGGTCAGGTAAGGAAGTGCACTGACACAACATAAGCAATATTTGGGCTGTGGTAAAGGAGATGAACCCCCAGGGAAGCATAGGGTTACTGCCAGTTGTTAGAAAAGTTAATGCACGTTATTAAAAGATGATGCAGCGCACAATGTGCTGCGTGAGCTATACTTGACAGCTTGGTACTTGCTGAAATTGTCTGTGATGACCGAATGATCATCCATCGGCTATCGCTGTGCACAGTGGCTGATGATTCGGCTTGCTGCGCTGACCACAACGCCTGGTTAGTGAGGTGTACGGCTAAAATGCCTGCTTTCATCAGCTCTAGTGAATGACCGGAACATGTGCCGGCACTTTAGGTAACCCGCAATCACCTGTTTGTTAGTCACTGGTGTAACAGTCCTCCGCAACCAGTTGGAACAGGACAGGTGAAGGGGAAATAACGCAAAATCCTCTTGCAATAGGTCGTTCAACAAAAAAATCGCAAATAAAACTGAGGGATGCGCGGACACAAAGAAATGACACAAATCTAAAGAAAACAAAACTAGAAGATTAAAGCGATGAGTTCCCTAGATGAGTTTGAACAAGGCAACAGGCCATGATCGGCATCATCAATATACACGTTAGCCGGAGATGGGAAATGCCTCAGCAATTGTGCTGCAATATATGTGAAGGGGAAAACATGCAACAGGCAGTCGCTTTAGCTGAGCCAACAGTAAAGGATGGACACCGTTGCAGAGAGCAAGCAATCGGGTGTTGTGCCGTAAAAGGTTATAATTTGCGCCAGAAACAAGACAGATCGGAGCAGGCTAAGCGGGAGGGGGAGGGATAAAGAAACTCATAACACAAACGCTAATGAGGATGGCATCAATTAAGTCAATAAGCATATCTAGACAAACGGGTTCATCGCCATGCAAGCAGCTTCCAAGAAGTCGAGAGACACCAACCGAGGCAAAATAAAACTGTGAGTGACAATTTTCTTGGAAGTCTTGACTTAACGCGTTTCCATCAGGATCAACCACAAAACACTGGAAATTGAATACGGTACCACTAAAAAAATTAAAAAAAACGTACAATACCACAACAAGCTGTGCTTCCAGTACAGGTGTACCAAACAACGACAACAACCCAAGGTAGACAGCAACCTGAGCTTCAAGTTCACCTTGAATAATCTCGTCTCAATTTACTGAAGCTTTAACAGGCTTACACATGACTAAGCGGAAAGGGAGGTTGCCGTGAAAAGTGGGCGTTCCGCCAGTGCCTTACACATACACACACCGTGATGGTATTGAAAGTGTTTCAAGTGCACATATAGTAACATATACAATTGTCCTCACGGACGAGGTGATTTCATGTATGTGAACTCTACTCACATGATCTCGCAACATCGTCAGGTCACATGCGATGTGAGGAATGTCTTGCTCGCCGGTATTCGAATGCCACAGCGAGGGAGTTAAAACGGAACGTCACAAAATGATGACATGAGCCGAAGCCACAGGAAGCGACAATTAGGTCTGTTCAGAATTTGGAAATCTAGGCCAATGCATGCACGGTGGAATGCAGGTCATCTATGTGTTTAAAGTGCAAATAAACCTAATTAACTTGGCACTGAACACAATCTCCATTGAGAGCCAGATAACAAAGATCGGTTGGGACAGGAAAAGGAGTTGGGTAAAGGGAATAACAACCATGAGGCAGGGAGCGGTAGGAAGTCAGCAGAGGATAGGACAATTGGGAATCTTCTACAAAAAGGAAGAACCTTTGTCTTGACAAGAAGCAAGATGACCTCTCGAAAGTCTTTCCACTAAACGTTGCCTGCCAAGTTGAAGGGTATTGCGACCGTATCCTTAAACGGATGTCACGTAGTAAAAAGGAACCATTTAGTGTTTTGAGACATCTCACCAGAGAATATAACTAAAATGACGAATTACGGGCCCGCCAGGCAGATGGTGAAAGAAATGATCACAATGTGGATTTTCCAGTAGTTCAAAACATCTTGATGACTGGATTTTGGTCAATCTTTGTCCTACCAGTGCGACTCGAGTCAGCAGTAGATTGAGAATAGTAGCTGCTGGCATTCATGGTTTGAGAAACCAGCTTTCTAAGGTTCGCAAGCTGAGCTGATGGCTTTCACGGAGACTAGATTGTCCTCGGAAACTTCAGATCCGGAGGAACAAATTCCAGGATAGTAACTGTACCGATCCGATCATTTCGGATGGTGATCTGGGAGTGGTGTGGTTCTTTACTGGAAGACAGGCCTTTAGACTCACACAGCGAAATTATAAGCGATGCCGACGGAGACTCGGAAATTCTTTCGCAGTGTTCACGATGGATACAAGTCGCTCATGGTCGACGTTATCTACAGATCACCTATGGGATCAAGATCCCATCTTCTGGACTCCATCAAAATACATGGTGGATGCCGACACTGTCTGTTGATGAGTGATTTCAATATCACTGGGACGTACTTCGTTGTGATTTTCTCCAGTCCTCTGATGCAATTCCATTAGAGGCTATCCTCGAATCTACCCTAGCTCATCACATCCCTTCCCCTACACGGATGTGCCCAAAGCACTTGCCGCATATCCTTGACTTTGTGCTCACACCAGCACTATGAGACGTCTTAGCTTCAACTGCTCTTTATTCTCTCGACAAAAGCGACCAGGTTGTAGTTTACTGTTCGTGGACGCAGTGGTTAGTCTAAGTTTCGGGCAAGCGAACACACTCCGTTTAAAATGACTGCATGTTATATGGACTAGAATATCATTCAGCCTTTGGAACTCGATTGTGCATGAAATCTCTTGTGCTCCAAAGTTTTCCATAGAAACCCTCGGAGCCAGTCCTCCAGCCACTAGCCCAGAGAAGACTGGCTAGACGCAGTCTGAAGCCGAATGATGTAACTTGAATTGCACCAGTGAGCGTAGTACTTAGGCAATCAAAAGGCGAACGCTTACGCATCTCCTAGTAGATACAATGTAGGTACTTTAAGCCAGGCTATCCTTTCATGGAATAGTTATCTTGACTCTATCACTTGCCTATACATACTTTGTGCGCGACGCTGAAAAATGGTTTCGTCAGAGGTCCTTGTCTTTTGCTTTGGGAAGTGCCTAGACCTGACCCCAATGGCCAAATCGGGTATTCGCACTATCAGTGGAAACATAACAAAATTTGGTGACGAAAGAAGCTTAATCAAGATGTCAATCTTAAGGTGGGGCCTGAACGTTATTTTGCGTCTACAGCATAAATTCGAAGCTGCACAGCCGCAAATGATCGGGGCTCTTACTCGAACACTAATGCTCTAGTCTAAAGCTTTCCAAAATACTGAGAATCCCTCAGTTGATGCAATAATCGACAGTGTCACTTCGTTGTTGACCACGGTTCAGGATTGATTTTCGATGCGTGATTCAGACGTTATAAATGTATTTTCATGACGCAGCAGACAAACCCTGATGATGCAACATAGGGGACTAGTGCTGCATAAATTCGGTGCTGTGGAGACCACAAGATAGACCGGTTTCAACATTGCTGACACGATTTCTTGACTCTCAGAGATGCTTGGCGATCAGCGAACGCTTTTCAGCAATCAAATACGTTTGCCTGAAGTTTTGCGAAAAGGGCTAAGATAGTCTCTTTGCCTAGGCAGCAACGATGAAGCGAAAGTGTCAGAAATTAAAGCCGACATCTCTAATTGAAAATCACTTTGAGAATCCGAAGATGGTGTAAAGCCTGCAGTCTCCCAAGAATGCCGGGATCAGAACCGGAATACTCGGGCTGTTGGAATGAGACCCGGACGTCACATCTCTAACTGTCGCTGCAGAGGCCGAGAGAAGCATAAATCTGAAACATGATACAGCTGTGGTGGAAGACACAAAGACACATTCCAGTGACATCGCAGTTCATCAGATTCCCGGGAGAAAGTTTCCAGCCACTGATCGCAAGGAAGAAACCATCAGCCGGTTAGATGGTGTCAGTTCAACTATGATATCTACCAGAGATGCCGTAGATGTGGGCACAAAGAAACCTATTGCAGTCCCAAGTCCGTTATTGATGCTCGAAAGAAGAGCTGCGGTCCGTTTGCGAAGTTAGTGAACTCCATTCGATATCTTGGACTATCAAGAACAAGGAACCGAAGGTAAAAGATTGTTTTCCATGATTCATCAAAAGCATATGAGTAAAATAGCAATAGGCGTAACAGTGGATTCCATCAGTTCGAATGAGAGTAGACCACGTGACGACAAGGGGCATAAACCAGCAAAATGTGTAAGTGATAACCGCCAACTAGCACACCAGTGTAGTTGAACAATTATAGCTGGCCTCAGAACTATCCGTTTCGTCTGGCCAAGGTAACTTAATAGCTTCGATCAGCTCCTTTAGTGCACACAAAAGCAGTTGATACAACCGAATGCTGATCGTCTCGGCGGCCGTAAGCACGCGGAAGCACAGGCCTTTCGACCAGAGCGGAGGGACCCGGTATAGTATTCGAAAGGTACGAATTTGGCCAACCTCATGCCCACTAGCAATAAGATGAGTGGTGACAGAGTTAGTTATAGCAACTGCACCGCCTCGAGGGAACCAGCCTGGTTGGTCCTCATTAATGCGCTTCGACAGGTGCCGCGCCGTTCGACTGATGTAAGCTGCGCCAC